GATAAAGCCACAGGAACAAATAAAGTTGATTACAAAGTGCTAGCACATCAGGGAAGTTGCCGGCCCGACTAAGCATCTATGACGCTCTGATCCTGTCAAAGGAGATGAGGGAAGCTCTGGTTACGGCTTTGCTTGATCCAGAGATTTGTTTAGCTCAGTTGGCCAGCACATCCTCGGATGAATTTTGCTCGTTGAAAGAACAATTTGTTTTACAGATGAAGATTTATTACTTGGAACAGCTGATCACAACAGACCACTTTATATCTCCGTCAACATCGGCAAATTTGTGCTGTCCAGAGTTTTAGTGGATCCTGGAGCATCTCTTAATTTGATGAGTCTACGGACATTAGCATATTTGGATTTTGACATTCAAGAAATCATCCCCGATAAGATGATGTTAAGAGGATTCAACCAAAAGGGAGAAAGAGCCTTGGATCAATTGCATTACTTATAAAGGTTGGAGAACTAGCAACAACCGTAAAATTTCATATCATCGACGCCGAGACCTCTTTCAACGCTCTACTTGGTCGACCTTGGATTCATGAGAACAATATGGTTCCATCGTCTCTACACCAATGCATCAAATACTGCATTACATACATTACTTATGAATTTATTTGTATTACATTTTGAATTTCAACATTGATGATAATTGGCTAGTCGGCTAGCTAAAAGTCAACCGGCTGAGGCGACAGACCAAGTGACATATGTGTCCTCCCGAGTATGTGTCATTCCGTCGAGGTGTTTGGTCGTATGACGATCTTAGTCTATGTCTTTTGGCACGGTAGACCCCAGTGGCCAGTTGTGAGGTGGTCGTTCGATCCGGATGCAGGGATGGTTAGTCGAACGTGATCGGTCTGATTTTTTGGTTGAGTGAGTTGTTTCTCATTTTTTGCTCGACTTGAGACTTATGATCCCGATTTTTAATATGTAAGAATTATATGTAAGAATTTATGAATTAATATGTAAGAATTTATGAAGTTGACACCACTACGGCGCTAAAAACTTGATTTGTGTACTAAAAATAAGTTGCGTAAAATATATATAAGTATAGGCAATTATTAATGAGATTCTACGCAAGTATACGTATCGTTATCAAGTAATAATAAATTTTCTATTTAAGCCCCAAATATCGATCCCATGAGAAAGTTTTAAATTTACAATGATAAATTTTACTAGTAAATTCACAGAAAGTCAAACGAAATTACTGTTACTAATTTCGAATGTTGAGATAAAAATTAAATTACTTAACTATTAGCAAAATAGAAATGCAAGATTTAAGCAGTAACTACTAATCTACTAACTATGTTTATGTAATGAAGATTTCTTATGTGAAAAAACATCATTCCCACTACAATGAAGTTTTGGTGAAATGAGATGAGATAAATGTTTATAATATATATTATGTCAAATAGGAGCAGTTTTCATTCTCTACCTCGATACAGTGCATAAAAAATCATTAGCTAATCCCAGGTTTAGTCCCTAAATCCGTGGCTAGGCTAGGAGCATACCGACTCCCACTCCAAAGCTCCTACATCCCTTCACCTGAAGGCTAACTCTCGCTTTAGTTTTTAAAAGTTTTTAAACACTAAGACCAAATTGGGGATTTTAGTCTGTCACCCTAAAGATTCTCCAATTTTATACCAAACAAAGAATATTTTTCTATTTATTTGCACTTAATTCCATGAACGAATTTCTCCTCTATGAAATCAAATGTGATCCTCACTCTATTGTAGAACTCATACTTCATTTCCCAGATCAAATGTTTCGTGACATATTTTAACAATTAAATTGGTTAGATCAAAATGTAAATTAAGTTCAGAGTTGAAAAATTATCATAATCTATTTTATATTTTAATATTGACAAATCATATTATCTCTTCATTTCATCATATCTCATAGTAGGGAGAAAGATAGAGTGAACTACTCAGACTTCATGAGAAAGACACAATAAAACACAAATGTCATATATAAAAAAAGGTTCATATAATACTAATAAACAAAAAAAACATATCTGAAACTCTTTCTCAAAACAAAGCACTTGTAGTCTTTCCTTAGAAATGCAGAAAGAAAATATCTCTCACTTTTTCCCTTCTCCAACACTCTTACAGAAAGTTTCACACTTAATATCACCACACACTCTAAATTATAAAAGAAAACACACTAACTGACTCTAATGTAGTGGTTGAGTGAAAATGGATTATGAAGAATGGCGAAAAAGGAGCGTGGTGGAACATTGTGGAGCGAAAAGGAACGTGAAGTAGTGAAGGAGTGAAGGAGTCTATTTTCTGTTGAATTTCAGCCCTAAATAGAGCATAGTGTCGGTTCTCCAAGAGGTGCCTCCAAAATCTCTTCAAAAATCGTCCAAATACATCGAAACTTCTAGAATTAGGGGTTGAACCGACATTGGCGCCGTCGGCGCCAGTTTCCCGCAATTTAATTCGCTGCTCTCTATTTAAAGGCGTCGTCGGTGCTGAGTAAAATTCTCAGTTTGGTCTGTAGTTCTGCGCCGTCAACGCTGTCCTTGGCGCGGTCGGCACTGAGTATTTCTTCAAAAACGTAATTTTGACTCTAAATTCCATCCTTTTTGCTTCCTATTTTCTTTAAGTCCTAAAAATCAACAATCTGCAAGAAAACATCAAAATACATTCCATTAAAGTGAAATATCACTAAAAATAAGTATAAAATATTGGTCTAAAAATGCATATATTTTCGGTGTATCAAAATCCCCCAAACTTACATATTATGACTTATGGTAAAGAATTTAACTTCTAGATTTTCATATTTTAGTTCTCTACATATAATAGTATAACTTAAGAAAAATTCAAAAAAACTCTAGTTAATACTAAAAGTGTAAGGATATTCTGCAATTAAGTCCAAGATTTCTGATCCTCTATTTCTTTCAAGAAAAATTGCAATTTGTCATATTAAAGACGCTTAGAATATTCATATGAAATGGAACTTCATAAGACTTTACTAATAATTAAGCTAATATTTAAATTAAAAGTTTAGAAAATGTGTCCAAGTCTTTTTCCTTAAGTTGATTCAAGCGAAGCCAATTTTTAATTAGGCATCTCCTCAAGCTTCTCCCCGCGTCTTTTTCTTTTTCTTTTCTTTTTAGGATCATTTTTTTAATCCCTTTTTTTTTTCTTTCTCTCTTTTTATATGGATAACCTCTAATGATTTTGAACTTCACTATCCTCTTCTTAAAGTTAAAAACTTTTTACATTTCTTCACTTAACAAATTTATATTAACTTAAAGATTTCATAAAGTTTAATTCTTTTCATAAAGTTTAATTTTTTTTCTTTTTACATGAATCTTTTAAGATTTTTAATACTTAAAAAATACAAATTTCTTTACTTAAAATAAAAAAAACTGTCTTATTATCTTTTACCAAATATCTTATTCTCTAGAATTAACCTTTATTATTAAAAATTTTACTTAAATTTACTATATATTTAGAAACATAAATATAGTTATCTAAAGTCAACTCCTAATACTAAAGATCATGTTAAATTTAAAATTTTGAAAATATAGTTAAATGAGGACAAATAAAATTAAGTTTCTTCTTTTTTTTTTTTAAAAAAAAAGGTAATTTTTCTTCCCCCCCCAAACTTGAATTTTGAAAAGATTTAGCATGAAGAACTTAGAAATAAAAGGTGAAAGAAAACATTAAATACATAAAGAAAATACATACTTGTTGAAGGTTCTGATTTTTGAAAATAAATTTTGAAATATTGCAGGTGCTAATATGAAAAACTATAAGACTTAAAATATTAAATTGTACATAATATATAAAATCTACTAAGAAAGAGTTAATTACAATACATATAACAAAATGCTGAAACTAACAACAGAACTAAACTAAATTCTATAAATGAAAATAGTTTTACAAATTA